CTTGGGGCTATGCAGCACATCTTCGTGTTTGCATAGTGATAAGCGCACTGTCCACATGCACATTTAATAGCTGGAATTAAAAGGTTTCTCCTTCTGCAAGGCTTTTTCATAGAGCACTCCCTAAAGGGGGAAGCTCCCTAACACCACAAAAGCTTGTGAAAACATTGGTTTGTCAGGAAAATTAACTAAATTACTCTGCATTAAGTTTCAACACCGGCACCCACATGATGTAGACTTACAGAACATTAAAGGGTTTCCCTTCAGAATCTAGAGAGATTCTGTGTAAGAGAAAGAAGATCCTACAAGATCCTACCTTGAATGTCTCAACTTAAAATCACACCAATTTTGCTCTAGGCCTCTTAATTTCCTCATTCTACTTAGAAAAATGTTAGACAGCAGTCTGAGCCTGTTGTGTTCTTACCAGTGTGTAGTTCTTCTGAAAATGAGCCCCATCACTGCGAAACATCTGGGCTAAAGCACTCTTCCCCACAGCTGGGTCTCCTGCAAAACCAAAAACATAGAAGATTTTTGTTTCATTCTAGATAATCTTATTTCCTCTCAGTTCTGTTTACTATCACATGCTCTAAAAGCCTGGATGCTCTAACTCTGAATACAGGCAAGATAACTGTCATATGAAGCACACAGCAATCTAAAGGGTAATACCCACATGAGGAAATGAACATTGCTATTATGCATACTTGTGCTGACATTAGATTTATGATCTACGAATAACAGCAAAGGACTGCCAGATCAGGGTGGAACTGCTGCTTGTTCTAAAATGTATGCCTATGTCATAGTCCTTATCTAAGAATTAAAATTTCCCAGATATGTAACCATGTAGAAAAAATAGCAATGTGATAAGGGACAGTGGGCTGCATAGGAGGCTACTTCCTCTCCTTATGTTACCCATTTCCCCAGATTCAAATCCTTGTTATATACTGAGACAAAGCTGCTTAAGCTGGTAACATTCCTCAATGAACTCTTCTTGCTGACCCTGCTAAGAGAGCAGCTCTTGCTGACTCAATGCTGCTGGTGGCTCATTAGTAGTTGCATCCTGGGTATAACAGAAGCAAATGTCAGAGAGAAAGAGCCTGCTGATTCATCCCTTTACAGAAGGAAAACCAAGGGGCTTTAGTTTTTGCTCTTCTAGAGCCAAGGCTTACTGATATGGCTTGCACAACACTTAGGGCAAACCTGGCAGCTGCCTGCTTTGGCTGCTGCTACAAAACTCTGCAAGATCCAAAGCAATGGCAGAGAACTGCAGAATTCACATATGCCCCTGTTACTTCATGAAAAATATCATAACCCTTCCAAAACAAAAACTTAAGTTAATGCTTCCAAGGGGTTTATAATCTTTTCACATCATGTTCTTCTAGCGTGGATAGTCAAAAGGACAGGAGCCAGGAATTAAATACCTCAGTGGTTCAAGCTTTACCCTTTAAAGGCACACTCATAACAGCCAAGCCTGGAACACAAATATTTTACATTATGTTGTTAATAAATTAACCCAGAAAGGGGTATATTTTGACCCTGTTACAGCTTCCTAGATGGTGTTTGGAAGGAAATTGGTAGACTTTTCTGGTCACATAATATTGCAGAGGAGGAAGGAGGTTTTGGATAGTAACAATTGCTCCTAGATGCATTAACCAAATGTAGCTCTTGTTTAAACATTTTTAGCATGCTTACTTACTTTGAGCTGATTTGGGTTCATAATATTTAGACAGGAAAATCTGGTAAGTCAGCTTGTTTGTTCCCTGATCAGTTCAAGCTTGTGCGGAAGACAACACTCTGTTCTGAGTGGAAGCTATTCTGTATTTCAATAGACAATTAGATCGGTCTTTGTAAAATGAGAGAGAGAAGTACACATCGCTCCAAACTTCGAAAGCATCATCCAGCACAAATTCT